AGAATAAAGTCTTAACATTACAAGATTAAAGCCGTAATATTACCAGAATAAAGTCGTAATATTCCGAGAATAAAGTCTTAACATTACAAGATTAAAGCCGTAATATTACCAGAATAAAGTCGTAATATTCCGAGAATAAAGTCTTAACATTACAAGATTAAAGCCGTAATATTACGACAATAAAGTCATAATATTATGAGAATTAAGTCATCATACAACAACCAGTTTGAGAAAGAAAGCTTCGAGCTCTGACCAGCAGATTACGGCTGATCTGCAACCTGATTCCACTTTGACCTACTGCCCAATTTGTTGCTGGTGCTAAAAGATTCCCTTATTTTTTAAACCAGAGCCAAAGAATAACTTCACATGATGCTCGTCATTCCTCATTTTAGGGAAGACAGTGCTTTTTGTAAGAGTTGTCATAAAATAAAACTTGTTTCTCGTAATTTAAGGACTTTATTCTCTTAATATAACAACGATATTCTCATAATCTTTTTACTATTCTTGTTGTGATTTTTTTCTTGTAATTTTACGACTGTATTCTCGAAATAATACTCCATCGTAGAAAAATAAACATGACCAAGATACAGTAATTTAAAGTAATTTCATAAAACCAAGGTAGTAATCTTTAACTGAGTGAGTTGTCAGTATTTATGCTCATAAGTCTGAAACCGGCTTTGGTATTTAAAGGAAGAGTCCGCTCATATTCAGAATTCAAACTTCTGAAAGTACTTGAAACATGAAATTATTACATCCTGTTCAATAAATGATAAGTGATTCTAATTCAGAGTAATTTTCATTTAAATGTGCTTTACTGGAGGCATCCATGTTTGTCAAAGAACACTACTGCCACCTACTGGTTTGTGACGTCACGGTGCGGTATCGGCTGTTGATCAAGTCCCAGTGCTGTATCTGGTGTTTGTCACAACGCGCTATTATCCAAGTCATCTTGAAAACATTCTTCTTCCAAATGTTGGCTACATATTACCGTACATGTTTTTTCTGGCCAGAAGTTCGATGGCAAATCCTCCCTCTTCAAGTTGGCAATCCAACGACCAACCCGTCCGTGGAGGATCAGGAATCAGAAAGATGAAACAACTTTTTTTTGTCACTTTTACCTGATGTTCAATAATTGTTGTTGATTGCAGATGTGTCTAGTAGTTCCCATTGATTTTGCTTGTAAAGCAGGGAGAATGGCGCTAGGCTTACCGCACCGTGACATCACTGCTGGAAGATGGCAGGAGGGAGGGGTTACTATATCTGGGCAAAAATGGCCGCTCCCAGACTCTGTGATCGCAATGAAAATAATAATTTTTATTTTTTTACTGATTAACGCCAAATTCATTAAATCAGCGCAAACATATTAGTTTTATGTATAAATAATGATCCATTGGTTATTCCTTGCTGACTGGACTTTTCCTTTAAAGGCTGAGTGTTGCTTAAATGTTCAGCTTTAACACTTGAAGAGATGCTGCCAAACAAAGTGCTTTGGTTTCTTGACAATGACAACGCTGCTTCTTCATTACTGCCTCTTTAAGTTTAGAGAGCAGAGTATCAGATTCTTGGAAATGTTGCTGGTTTAAAGCCGCTGCTGTTACTGCAATTAAAGGGGAAGATTTTTAAATGCGGCAAAGAGATAAATGAGACACACTTTACCAATGGAACAAGACAATCTACATTTGAAATAAGAAAAAACAACTGCCTGGTCTCATTTAAAGTGCACATTATCTAGTTATCCAATTTTAAGAATAAAACATCTCATTCCATTTCCAAATGATCTGATTTTCCTACTAAAATTAGGGGAAAAAGATATTTAATTTAAGAAATGTTAACTTATTTTTAAACCGTTTTTGCTGTGTGCCATTAGCAGAAAAATTACTTTACACACTGCAAAAATGATCTAGAAATATAAAAATAAGTAAAAATCTCTTAAATTAAATGTATTAACCCTGAATTTGAGTAGGTAAATAAGATGATTTTCAAATAGAATAAGTATTTTAAATCTTAAAATAATATGATTAGATAATATGCAATTGAAATAAGACAATGCACTTTTTTAAGAGAAATTAAATCTGCAATAACTGACATTAAGACCTCGTCCCAGGTTTTTGATCATCTAAAAGCCAAAGTAATTACTTTTGGCATCATATGAAACCAGAGATCCACACTAATAGAGAACAGGGTCATATCTGCTGACTGCCGATTGAGGCCCCGCCCCTTTAAGCTGGGGTCAGAGTGTCCATCCTCCCTGACAGCAGTGTCAAAGAGTCTGGCTTCACTGGAACAGCACCTTAGTACTATTAGTGGGAGGGCTTAAAAATAGATTCCAGCTCTGCAGCAATACCCTTCAACAGCCCCAGGACAGATGGCTTATGTAACGCCGATCTCAGCTCCCTGGCAACCTCTCAAGGGAAGAGGTGAAGCGCCGCAGAGCATCTACTGTACGCCTGACACACTGCTGATGACATCACAGGTCAAAAACCATCTAGAAATAAGTCTAAATGTTAAATTAAGTGTATTTACCCTTAATTTGAGGAGGTAAATAAGATGGTCTGCCAACAGAATGAGGATTTTTACTCTTAAAATAAGATAATTAGATAATATGCACTTGAAATAAGATGATGCAATTGTTTTTTTCTTATTTTAAATGTGAAAAGTCTTGTTCCAATGGCAAAGGGTCTCAATTACATCCTCAATTTAAGAAAAAATGCACTTTTTTAAGAAAAAATGACTTATCTAGATTAAAATTTTTCCGAGTGCAGCATCTTTTCATTGTACTTTAAACAGATGTAAAAAGGTGACTGTTACCAATTTTAACTCTTCCTCGCTCGGGGCCTTCTCCCATCACCAGGATGTTGGCTGGTTTCTGTGGAGGACAAGGAGAGCACACTATAAGCACAGTGGAGATGGGTTGGTGAAGAAGCTGGTTGCAGAAGGCAGGGTGAGATGGGAGGGGGTGGAGCCATGCAGGGGCTGCTTCCTCCGGCCAGTAACCCCGGCCGCCTCAGTGAACCCTGCGCCCACATGACCGTGTCATTCAGACCGTTTAACGAGGGAGGCCCCGAACACTGACAGGGAAGGAGGTTAAACTCACAACCACACAGCTGTGCTCCTCTAAGCTTCGATTAGAAACTAAACAAAAAAAAAAATGAATCTCAGGGAGTCCGTTGTTTTTGTTGATTCGAAGACAGAAGGTTTCAAACGTGACTAAAGTTACATTTTGAAGTTATAGCAAAGGATTAAAAAAAAACTCAGATGGTGGAATCAAAGACACACAATAAGAAGCCAATGATCAGATTTGGACGTTTTTCAACCGGTCACTGGTTGGTTGGAAACTGAAAAGTCAAACCTTTTTCCCTGAACACTGAATGCATCATATCTGGAGCAAACAGCTCATGCTAACAGAAAATCCTTAGTTTGAAAGCTGTTTTAGAGGAAAGAAGATGGTGAGATGAGTTATCAAGATATCAGAGGAAGCTTTAAAACTGTATGAAGGAACTTAAAAAGAGAAAAGATGTTTTAGAGATGCCTTTCTGCTGTTATCCACACCCTTACCAACAGACAGATGGACTTCAGTCGTTTGAGTCTTTTGCCATTTTGAGAAGTTTCCTTGAATTGACCTTTTATCCAACTTCAGGAGATACTAGAAATACTGATCAGGTTCCAGCCGAGTGGATCCATCATCATTTTAACCTCTTCTACCAACATAAAAGCTTGATTTGGAAATAATGGCATAAAATTTGAACTGTTCTAGTTAAAGTAAGGTCTACCTTCTCTAAGATTCTAGCATTTATAACTATGATTTTTCCATAATCAGTTTTTCTAGATACTTACTTCGATTTTCTTTTTTTTTAATAGTTATTGATACTTCAGTAAAAATCATCTGTTTGGTTTTATTATCTGTAATTTAAAATAAATCAAGCAAAAAAAAAACGCTTAAAAGAACAAAGAATAGTATTTAAACATGTCTAAACACAGCAGTGAAATTAAGTTATGAATTCAAAACTTCAACTGCCTGAAGTTTAGTATTAAAAAGCTTAACAATAAAGATTAGAACATTTGACCAAACCTAATTTTGGTGTATACTGTAAAGAAAACAATGTAGTATGGTGTCTCTCATATATTTATTTCTGCTTGGTGTTACCTTTCTTATACCTCAGCCAACATACTTCAGCCGGGCGTACACTGTGCGATTTTGTTCAATTGTTGCACGCAGCTACAGCTCACACTGTACAATGCAACCGTTAGGTTTAAAAGTTCACAGCTCACAATAGATGTTCTTACACTTTGTGGCCCGGAGCTCTGATGTGATCTACCTGTACACACTGCACGTCTAAACGAGTAGAATAGGAATATGAAGCTCACTAGAGTGAAACATGCTGCCTTGGCAATTTTGTGCTGGAAGCCCTAATAAGAAAAGGCGACGACATATTTGAACAAAGACATGGCTGAGCAAACGTGGCTACTATGTTCTATCAATTTTACAGAAAGAACTCCATTTCATTCACACCCCCGCCATGCTTCTGTGTTTTTATCTAAGAGGAAAAAGAAGAAGAATCCTTGTTTGCCCACTGAACGATTTGCCCACAACCACCTTAAGACATGTTTTTATTTTCTCCCGACCACACGATTCCTGATCGGGAGGTGGTCGTGAGAGGCTGTTCACTACACCACGCACCATCAGGCTGAAAGCCGGGCCGATCGCAAATTTTTTGCACGACTGGAAAGTCAGCCCGAAAAGGCCAAAAAAAATCGCAGTGTATGCCCGGCTTTAGGTTATCCTTAGCTATGTTCTGCATTTGTGCTGCTATAGGCTTAGACTTCTGGAGGACATAGGGACCCCTTTTCATCATTCTGCTTCATTCTATCTCTATTCTCCCACTCTGCAGAATCTGTTAGTTCAATCTCTAACGTCCTCCTCTCTCTGCTTTTTCTCATAGTAGATTAATCTGGTCTGTTCCTGTTTGGCTGTTACGCCATCCAAGAGAGAAATATCAGCTGTCCTGCTGCCATCAACACCTTTGTTTCTAGATGCTGGAGATCGGCCTGTTTTTCAGTGTAGTCCTGTTTCTCTGACTGAGACTAACTGGATGTGCTCTCTTCATCCTCTGACATGGGAGCTGGCTCGGAGCTCGTCTGCCTGGCTGTGTGTTTCCTGGAGGGGGCCGCCTTTTACAGTTGCTTTTCTATCTCAGCTTCTGTCTCCTTGAACCCCAGTCGGCCTCAGCAGATGGCCGCTCACACTGAGCCTGGTTCTAATGGAGGTTTCTTCCTGTTAAAATGGGGTTTTACTCTGCACTGTCGCTACATGCACGCTTGGTGTGAGGGATTGCTATCAAGTCAACGCATTGATTCAACCAGGTGGTTTCCAATCTGACTGTATGATCTGGTCGTAACGTGCCTTGAGTTGACCTGTTGTGATTTGGCACTATAGAAATAAACTGAATTGAAGTGAGTTTTGTAAAGTGAGGTTCTTGAAATCAGACAAAACAAACATCCATACCATTAAAAACAAAATGTTTGTTGAATTTAAGGAAACATCAAGTTGTTGTTTGTCAAACCCTAATAATAGGTTATAACCCGAATGATCAGTGACGTCTCAGTTTCTAATTGAGGAAAATTAAGGTAAACACTATTTAATTCTTAACAGTAACTTTCTTAAGGTCTAATTCTACATTTCATCTGTCAGCTCATAGCGAAGATGGCCTCATAGGCAATCAGAGATCACAAAAAATTCTTAAATGGAAAATAATGCAGACATATCACCCTCAGCTCTGTGAGTTTAATGTTCTCAGCTGTCCTCTCGTGCAGAAAGACTGTCTGCATCTGTTCTGACTCCCAGGATGCCTTGCACCTACATGAACCTCCCTGACTAGCCAGACACCGACCTGCCCAGCTAACATGCTTTGTTGCCATAGAGACCGCACTAATAAGTAGGCCTATTATTCACGTCTCCCAATATGACCAGCTGTGATCAAAAAAGAAAACACAAAGAGGAGCATCTCTGAGGAGAGCCGACAAGTTCTAGCTCAGCGGCTCCTCTTTAAAATTCAGGGAACGTCGTCGCTTTTCTCCATGTCTGTTGAAGAACTGTGAGGTGCAAAAATAAACACATAATCATCAACCATCCGTTTAAACAAACTACAGGTAAAAAACAGATGACTAAAAATAGGAACCAAAGCTGAGATTTCCTTCTGCATGTACACAGAGAGCGTCATCATTTCCAGATAGTTGGTTTCAGAAATGGATCAGGAGCTGAGGGAAAACCTTCTCTGTCCCTGCTGGGACACAGAAGCTCAGTCCGGACGGACGTGGCCTCCTTTCACAGAAACTTCCACATCTTTGTCTTCACAAATAGGTCAACTAGGAAGCTTATTTACACAACTGAGAAATAGGAGCTCATAAAGCGTAGAAAGTGGCGCAAACACCTACATCAAAAACCAAGAGACAGTGTAGTTAACTGCTCCGGCTATGAATGTTACACTGTTCATCTTAATTCAGTTCAATTCAGTTTATTTCTATACCACCAATTCACAACACATGTCATCTCAAGGCACTTTCCAGTTCACCAGATCATCCAGTCAGATTGATTCAAAGTTTTCTATGTAAGGAAAACCAGTTGATTGCATTGACTCATTGACTCTTCAGCAATCCCTCACACTAAGCATGTTTGTAGTGACAGTGGAGAGGAAAAACTCCCTTTTAACAGGAAGAAACCTCCAGCAGAACCAGGCTCAGTGTGAGCGGCCATCTGCTGAGGCCGACTGGGGTTCAAGGAGACAGAAGCAGCCATACAGAAAGAAGCATAGATACAAAAGGCAACCAGCTCCACAGTCGGCCCCATTCAGGAAACACACAGCCAGGCAGGTTGATGTTGGCATGGTAACCAGAAGTAAATACTTATACATTTTGGACCTGTCAGAATTTATGAAACGATTGCTTATATACTATATATTTCCCCCATAAAGTTGATAATTTTGCTCTGCACTACTCTAGATTCAATTGTTTTTGAAAAATAAATAGTTTGACTGTTTACCACTAGTTGGCAACAGTGCTCATGTAACATCCTTCTGTTGCTGCATCTTTGCCCAGAAGCAAAACAGTGCTCTGGATGAACATGTTGAGCCACTGATGCCCAAATCTTTCACTATACGCTTCACAAATTATATTTCATGTTCCCAGTGTTAAAACAAAGAGGCTATTGTGACAAAGTGAGCACAAAAAGACTCAGAATGATCAAAGAGCAGCTGTCTCACTGTGGTGTGGAGGCTGCAGCATCTCAGAATGGAAGAAGGTGAGAAGAGTGGTGAGAACAGCAGAGAGGATCATAAGACATTTCATCCCAGCGCTGTGTGTCCCGAGGCCCGTAAAATCATCAATAACAGACCCCCACCATGGACTGTTCTCCCTGCTGCCCTCTGGGAAGAGGCTTCACAGCATTCAATGCAGGACCAGCAGACTCTGCAACAGCTTCTTCCACACAGCCATCAGACTGCTGAACTGTTTAACCAAACCAAAATTATGCACCGTATATATTTAATGCTCTGAAATTCCATATAAATGCTTTTTCTTTTGCACAATTTCTTTTTCTCCCACACTGTGTACAGCTGATCACTGCTTCACTTTAAGAAATGGAAATGTATTGAAATCTGTACAAAATGAATTTCAAATAAAAGTTGTCTAAGTCTAAGTTAAATATATTTACAAAATTAACTCTTTTTATTGGGATTAATGTTGTTTAACAGGTTTAAGATTTAAGAGTAAACTCCATAAAAATGTTTATACAGTATGATGATGTATAGAGATGTATCAATCCCGTTTTTTATTTTATCCAATCAGATACAATCCGTAGGCTGATCGTATTGG